TAAATAATTTAATATAAAATAATTATCAAAAAAATACAAAATCTAATAATATAAATCAATTTAAAAATATATGAAATATTTAATATATCTTTTCAATCTCTATACAATATATTAAAATAAGTTATTCTAAAAAATCAGTTTTTATTACTTATTAAAATTATAAATAAACTAAATAACAAACTTAATATATTTATTATATTAATATTATTTATAAATATATAAATAAAATAGATTATATTTCATGAAAAAAATATTTTTTGACTTCAAATCAAGAATTTTATTAATTAAATTAGTATTAAATAAAATATAACTGAAAAATATAATAAAAAATATAATCTGATTTAATAAGTTTAAATTCATATTTTTCAAATTAAATAATTAGATAAGAATATAATAAAAAGCTAGTAAAGCTTATTATTATAAATATATTAAATTTATTATTAAATTTATTATTAAATTTAATAAAGAATTAGTAATATTTTAAAAATATTTTAGTTAGAATAAGATTAATCTTTTAATATTAATAGAAAAAATTATAAATTTAGATATTAATATTAATATTCTTACTAATTATTTTATACTTTAAACTTATCAATATTTATATTTAAAGATGATATTATAACTTAATCATAATTTTTTAATTGGCTATCATAATTAATTGTAATTCTCTGATTAATTATCAAAATTTATAATTAATTAAGATAATATTTTTAATTTATATATTGTATTTTAATAAGATAATATATTATATTATATTTTAATATATATGACTTGATAAATATTAATAAATAATATTTAACTTTTGGATTGAATTAGTTAAAGTTTTAATTTCAATTTAATTAAATATTTATAAGATATTTTGAATTATTAAATTTAAAAAAAGAATTATTATTTATATTAAAACAAGAATTAATTTGTATATTATAAAAAAATGAATAAATATTTATAAATATAAAGTAATTAAATATTATTTTTCTTTTTTTACAAGTAAATATAATAATAATCTATTTTGTATCAAAGAAATAAAATACTAAATTAAAGAATTAATGAAAAATTAATAATAATTTTTATATAAAATATCATATATTAAAAAATAATATTTTAAAATATTATATATATATATTAATATTTTGATTTTAAATATTTAAAATTTTCAGTATTTAAAATTTTAATATTTTGAAATTTTAAATATTCAGAAATTAGATATTGAAATTTTAATATTTGAATCAAAAATTTATATAAAATCTAATATTTATAATAAAAATTACAAGCTAATAAAAATTTTATTCTAGAAAATTTATTTTTTAGAAATTATATGTATAAACTTTATTTTTAAATAAATTATATATTTTATTTTATATTAGTTAATTATATATAAAATTATATAATTACATGATATAATATTAAATACTATTAATATAATTTATTAAAGTCAAATATATTTATAGATTTCTTTTTTTATATTTACTTTTTTTAAAATCTTATTGATTTCAAAATATTAATATTAAAATTTTGATTTTAAAATATTAATATTAAAATTTTAATCTTGAATATTAATATTAAAATCTTAATATGATTAATATAAAATTATAATTTATATATTAAATAATATTAATTAGTAATATTATAACAATTTTTATATTTAAAAAATATATAAAATGATTTGCTTTTTTAAATTAAAATAAATATTTTTAAATTAAATTATTTAAAAAATATAATTAAAAAGTTTATTATTATAATAATAATAATTTTTTGATTTCTTTTTAATTATACTAGTATTTTTTCTTTTATTTAATTTTATTTCTTTAATAATATAAATTTAATTTTGAATTTTTATTATAATATTATATTAATTTTAATTTAAATTTTTTAACTTTAATAAATTTTTAATTTATATATTTTTATAATTTTAATTTTTAGTTAATTAATTCAATTTATATTTTGATTAGTATTATTTATTTTATATTTTAATATAGTTTTCTTTGACTAATAGTGATTTTACTTATTAATTATAATAAATCTTTAAATTAAATTATTTTGTTCTTTTAAAACTTTACATTTTTCTAAATTACTTTTGTAATTTAATTTCTTTAATTATAATATTTATAAATATTAGCATAAGTTTTAAAAATCTTTGCTAATATTTATCTTTCTTTATTTTATTAGTTTAATTATTTCTTTTCTATTTTATAACAGTTCTTAGTAAAATTCATTATTCAAAATTGCTGTAATATATTTTTGATATCTTTTTTATAAAATTTAATTCTATATTTTCTTTATATATATATATTATTATAAACTTCTTTATATTTCTTCATATTTTATTATCTAGATAAGTAATTAATAATTATATCTTGAACTTTTATAATTAATTATTCTTTTATTAAATATCCATTAATTATTATTTAGATATTCATAAAAATCCTGATCTTAATAATATTAGAATTTCTCTACAATACTTTTGTCTCTTTTGTCACTCTCTTCAAGAATTATATTTACTTTAATTTTTTACCATTTATATTTTAATTGAAAATATTAAAGCAGTATCTTTAAATCAAATCATATATTTATTATTTAATGAATTAACTTAACTTTAAAAAAATATATCCTATTTAACTCAGATAAAAAATAGTTTAATTATTAAATACTTTATTATTTAATTAAGTAAATACTTAGGAAGAATACTTAATCTAATAGAACAGTTCTTTCTATCAAAACTTTTCATTACAAATCTATTCAAGAAAGACACGCGATGTTTATGGTTTATTATATAAATTAGGTTATGAGCATCGTGCAAAATTATCTGAATTGAAAAGATAATCGAAATCTGGTCTGATTCTAAATACAATAATCTGGATAATTAAAATTTGTCAAAAAAAAACCAACTTATTATTATATAGTATTTATAATGCTCTAAAACATCATTTTTATTATATTCGCATTTCTAAGTAAACTTTTTAGAAGAAGAATAATTTCCAAGTTTAATAAGATAATAATTCGAATTGTTGTAGTTAAAGCAGGTAATAAGCATTTTTAAGAGTAATAAGCATCTTACAATCAAAATTCTTCTCTTGTAAAATTTATTATAAACTTTAAAATGCATTCAAAATGAACAAAAATATACATTGTGAACTCGTTCTGAAAATACAAAATGGAAATTTAATTATTGGTTGTCGCTTCATCTTTGTCACGTTCTTTTATTTAAAATAACTTGGTCCGGTGATCGATATATGTATAAAAGACCCTACCCTTAACGTTAAATTAGTATTGATTTATTAAGTCGTGTCATTTTTTTGAGACACGTGTCATATGTGACACTGCGGCTGGAAATTATACCATGCGACTCAGGCTCTGAGAAATCGTTTTAACCAATTAAAATGAAGTTTTTAATAAGAAAAATTCTTCTCTAAGCCTGATTTACTTTTAATCATTTTAGCGAACAAATTTGTCTGCTAAATTGGACGGTTTAAGAGATAATGACAACGAAATTTAGGGTATCGTCGTTATAGAGAGGTTGACTTGTATCAATAAGATTTGTTTGTACAGTGCGCCGCAGAAGTAACCGACCCCATAACTCAGCGAAAAGGTAAGTTTTTTTATTAGAATTCCTATATGTATCTTGATCTTGATCATGAATACATTGTATAATCCCCTCCAACTCCTCAACCCGATTTCTCATACTATGTACAAGATTTGCGATAAGCTCATCAAGTATTCTGTTGTTAATTGTATCTTTTTAATCCATTAAGAGTTCTAACTCTTTGCAATGTTGGTTTTCATCAACCTCCAAACATTCTCAATCGGATTTTGGTCGGATGAAATTGACGGTCATTGGAAAAAACGTATTGTTTTTCTCCTTCTAACAACACATTAATTCCGAACGGTGCTTTGAGTCGTTATTATTGTACAAAATTCACCGTTCAGACGGACGGGAGAAGACCACGTTTGTATACCGTAACTATAAATTCGAAAACAACCCCACACAATGGATCCTTTACAGACCGGAATATCTTTTTTCGTCCAGAAAACTGCCAGACCTTGAATAACGAAATGTGCTTTCGTTTGAAAATATAAGCTTATTCCAGTCAAGGTTTCTATATTTTTTGGCCCATTGTAATTGTTTTTCTTTGTGATTATCGGTATTTAGCGTCGCGTAAACGTTGGATAGTATCCACAATAACATATGCATTTAACTCTTTCATTTTCTATAGTATATCAGTGGCGGTTGCGTTGGTTTGCTTTTATGCAAGCTCTACAGTTTTTATCTTTTTGCTTCTTTTCATCTTTGTTGTGGACTTACTACAGTGAATGTATTTAGCTACAGCTTCAAGTCCAAGTTTCGAATCTTTGAGGTGTGTATAAAAAACGATTTCGTATCGTTGATAAATTGGGAACATTATTTGTAAATATGATTTTTCATAAGTAAAATGCAATAGGGGAATATTTTGACATCGAATCTAAGATAACCTTTCACGATATTCCAGTCTGCAAAGTAAGTTATACATACGGAATAACGATAAGTATCGTTATCGTTATAATCTACAATGTAACTTTTAAAGAACACCGTGTTACTATAAACATGCAAGTACATGTATAAAAGAACAAAAAATATAGTGACTTTATTTGGTAGACTTATACTTTCGAATTTTATGATTGGCGTTGGGTACAACAAAAACTGAGCATATCAATACAGTTCACAATAATTCTATTTGTTTTATAAGTTATCGAAGTCGCACATGTAATAAAGAATAACGATACATGTAAAATTTAGAATCCGAATTTAAAAAATCTCAACTACGAAACACCAAAATTTATAAATAAAAAGTACAATGACAATAAATACAAACGAGAAATTAAAGCAAATAAGAAACAGAACAGAGCGAAACGGGACTTAATAAATAGTGATAATAATAAAAAACGAGCAACGAAAAAGTTACAAATTAAGAACAGATACGAGAAATTTACTACGAGATATCGATATTTATTACAATAGAGAATGTTTAACCGGACAACCAATCATTGTGAATTACATAATCCATTGTACTGCGTTGTTCGAACAAATTATTATCAACTGTGCCGTTAACAATATGTTTAATATGTTCAATACGTTCAATTTCTTTATTATACCATTCTTTATAAGTGGGATCATCCATCGTTATACCAAGTTCCGAATCATCCAATTTCGTTTTCTTTCTTTTATTTCTTCGAGTTTTTTTGCTGGGGTCATACTCAATAAAGCATAGATTCCCTGCTGAGCCTTGAAGTAATTTCTTTGCTTCTTTTTCAATATTTTTAAAGTGATTTTTAATATCGCGAGAACATTTCTTCCAAATAAAACCGAATAGTTTGGAGTACCCAACAAATTCTATATTTGCGATCAAACATGTTGAATCGTCGCATGGTTTTGGCAATGATGAGTCAGTTAAGGATGCTTTGCAAATCAAGCTGTGATTAGGTATGTTTGATGAAGTACTATTTTCTATAACCTTCTGCGCAGTACGGGGGTAAAATGAAATAATATGTGCACAACTAGGTAAAAATCCTTTGATCTTAATTTTCATTTTACCATTGTTTAATGAGCATGATCGAACATTTTCAGCTGTTATATTTGTAGACATTTCTTACAGTGAAGACTTCTTATTGCGTGGCAATATATAAAAAATTAAGCAATATATTTTTTAAAATCCATTCGCTTCCCAAAAAAAGTAAATGTACAAAGAAATACCATATTTTGCAATTTGAAACACTCAAAAACTTTTCTACTATGGAACACGAAAACAACATCCGAAACATGCAAAAACGTTTCTAAGCTGAAATAGAAAAATTTGAATGACACAACATTAAATTTCGATTTTTAATAAGGAAAAAAGGAAATAAAATGAATGTAGATAAATTTTAGCCCAGTAAAATAGAAAATTAAAAAGGTAAAACACAAATCATAAGAGATCAAAGAATTTCATTTAAAAGCTGACAATTATGACAATTATTGATTCCGATGCCCCCTGTAACTAAAAGATCTTTGTTTTTAATATCACAGTCAGATATAAAGATAACGATGCGTTTTAAGGAAATAAAATGGATGCATGTTAAAATGGAAAAATTAGAAAGTTAAACAAATTTCTAGAGGTCGAATATTTTCATCTAAAAGCTAAAAAATTATTGTATTCGATCTCCTGTGCGATTAAAAGAGGAAAAGAAGTGTTACATTCGGATGTAAGGTAACGACTCGTTTTACGCGTCTTTTTATGACGCGTCCAAAAGTATCTAAAAATCAGAGAAAACTGAAACAAACAGACGCTCGTTACTTCGAATATGGACAAAGATTTTTAATTTTAAAAATATTTAATGAATCAAGATCTCCCGTTAAATTAGATTTCTTGCTAAAGTTTAACCGGTAAACGGGAGTGGCTATTATCCTTAATGCATTTTTTATTAGATTAGCTTTAATGGAATCATAGTGCGAATACAATAATAAGTGCGAGCAACTATATCAATTTCCTTCTTCAATTTCAGAGCAGTCTAACTTCTGAATCATTTAGAAGGGATCGGAGGGACATAAAAAGATTTTGCAGCAATTTGGTTATTTCAACTTCTGTTGTTCTTGTCTTGTAAAGTTTATATAATACTTGTACGGAGAAAAATCGCACTTGAGCCCCCCAAAAAAAGCAGGTTAACGCGCGTTATTGATTGTTTAATTAGATCTAAAATGTCATTTCAGATTTACACGCAAGAATAATGAAATTTAATAATCATAATAAAATCATTTTTCATTCATTAATTTCCAAATAAACGTATTAAATACAAGAAGATGTCTTCTTTGCTCATTCTTTTATTGCTGATTCAAGCAAAAGACAAGTTTTAAAATGGTGTTTCACATTTTTTTAACCCATCCTTCAAAGACATTTCGATTTCGAAATTTATTTGCCACTCATTATATTTATTCCATATTTTGCCATTTACCATCGGCTTTTATAACTGTCATACATGTATTGTGCATTGTTACAAAATCCGTACATACACATACATTTTGGAATCGGGTACAGACGTGATTAGGAGACTTGGAAAATTAGACCAAAACACGTGATTAATAACAATCAAAAAATCTGATTGAGGCGAATCATATCGAACTATAGGAAACGGCTTAATACAATACTCAAATTTCAGATATATTGGATAACACCCATAAAAACGTCAATGTTTGCATTAAGATATTATATTATTTGTAAATTCTTGTAGATGATTTTCAGATATACATGTGACAACCCCCTGTGTAATGTGCCAATATTTTCCGGCACAATAAACACTGATCGGTAAAAAATTCTATATCAGACAAGCTCAATGTTTCATGATGACGAATAACGTGACGAAACCTGTGACGATTGACGAAACTGGGATTTTCTACTGCAATACCGATACCGCAAAATACCTTACGATAAGCTTTTAATAAAGAACTGTTTATAGAGTTTTTTCATTCTTCAAATAAATCTCCTCCTGATTGATGTGGAAAAAATTAGATTTTTGTGACAGATTAAAATGAAATTAAAATAAAATAAATTGTCAAATAATTATTATATATGCAATATAAAAGAATTATTTAATAAAGAAATTATGCATAATTTTGGTCAAAAATTTCATTTTAATCTGCAACATTTTACTACATGCAATGTACATGTATATTGATTTCGTTCTAGTAATTGTACATGTACAAAACGTTACAAAAAATCATTTTTCATATACATGTACATGTATATGTAATTCATTCGCCACTGACATTTTCTTAACGAAAGGTTTCATCAAATACAGTGGCTCGCAAATGAAACGAAAAGTGAGAAGTTTTACAAAAAAATTCTAGCGCTCTAATATCGATTAAATGTATCTGGTTCCTATACTGCCATTCTAAAGAAATTAAATGACTGACCTACATGAATGTTTTAATGAGTGAAATTTCAAATCAAAACAGTTTTGTTCTTTATGAGAACTATTTGCATTGCAATTTCAGATAAATTGATTTAGTTACAAGTTCTCGAGTTATAGCAGATTCGTGCATTCTTTATATCAATATCATGTGTAATGTGCAAAGAACAACATAAATCATTTAGAAATTGATCGCCATTGATCTAATTCAAGTGAAAAGTCGATTCACAGTGTTTTTGCTAATATTGGATATTAAATGTTGAAATTTTGCATCATAAAATGGCCAATTTATTTTTGTAAAAATTAATTAATCATTTTGGGGCGCAATACCTTAGCAGCCAGTGTCAGATTTAATGACACCTGACGATGAGAAGTTTCGTAATTCGTCAATGACGAAACTTTTCGTCAAGTAATTTTGTTTTGAAGAATTGGCTAAATTCTGGAAATTGATAAATCCTATGACTATCGTTCTTTTTTATGCAAACAAATTACTACATAAGTTAAATATATGTAAATAGTCATACAGTGACTCGCAAAAGAAACGAGAAGAGAAAAGGTTTGCGAAAAAAATTTGCCTCTAACATCGATTAAATATATCTGGTTCCTATACCCAATTTAAAGCTAATAACCAAGAGAATGTCTAAAAAAGTTAATATTTCCGTTCTAAAGAAATTAAATGACCTACATGAATATTTTTATTAGTGAAATTTCAAATCCAAACAGTTTTGTGGATTGAAAAGATTAACCTAATAAAAAATGTGCTTCTAGATGAGAACTATCTATAAACCAATTTTCAATTAAATTGACACAAATTCGTTTAGCTATTAATCCCGTATACCAGATTAATTTTAGTAAAAATAATACAACCATTTCTTTACGAGCATTAATCTGGTACCTAATACTTAAGACAAATAACTCAACTTTTCTCGATTTATGAATTGATAATAAGTTTTCTGTTATTATTTATTGAAAATTTTAATTTATAATAAATTTGACTATGTACGCCGCCCAAAATCCCAAAATGTAAAGTTATACAAATTTCACCCTTTACAATCGTTATGATAGTGGTAATCATTATTACACGCGCCTTTATACATTTCGCATCAATATTTTATTGCATAATTTTGAGTGTATCGTCGAGATTTCAGAAATGTCAGGATGCGTTCGGGATGTTGAGCTTTCGTGATTTGGGATTCGGGATTTTGGGTCATATATTTTCGAAATAGGCTACTTTCTGAATTAAGTTACTTCTTACTTTCAGTCCAAATTTGAATATAAAAATCTATGTAAACTTTATAAATTTAATCCTGAAAATAAGCTACCCTCTTTTATTATACAAAAAGATAACTTATCTTTTGAGATATATAGTAGACAGAATATTTTCAATATCATTTAATTCCTGTTATTGTATATAGTTTACCATTAATAACTTCAATATTATGTATTTATTAATCTTTTAGCTTCTTTTCAAAATTTTTTATAAAACTAAAATTCCATTTTGCAAAGATTATAATTCAAACTATTGTTGAAATGATTAATTTATAATAAGCTAATATTAAATATATATACTAATTATTTAATGTATCTTAAAAAATCGTCTTTTTAATATATGAAAATTGTTTGATAATTATTTTACTAATCCGCTTAATAGATTACAGTAATTATTATTCATATTAATATAATTTTTTAAATATTATATAGATAAGCTATAATATATTTATTAGTTCTTGAATTAACATAAAGTTTATTTATCTTTTAATTATATTATTATTCAAATTTAATTAAAATAAGTAAAATCTTTATAATAAAATAAAAAATTGATATACAGTGGCAATCAAAAATAATGCAACGCTTAAATTTTTTACTAATTATAATTAGTAAAATACATGTTTTTCCTTACATATAAAAGTTTTTAATTTTACTAACAAATATTTTTTATTTTTAGCTCAAAAA